TTCTGATGCATTAACCAGCTCTTTTTAAATATCAAATGAGAGTATAAAATGTTGTAATACTTCACTATGCAAGTATATTAATAGGTTTCAACAGAGGACAGAACTGAATGACCTTACACTGCTTGGCCATTGTTCCATTCTTCTGATGTGATCTGCATTTCAGGTTGACTCAGCTTGGCCTTGTTTCATTAGAGAATGTTAATAATACTGAATTATGCTGTGGTTTTATGCTGTAATAAGCAATTGAAATTAGAATGGGGCTATCAAGTTCATTTCATATTTGACTTAATTCATGCTTTAACTCAGGTTGAAAATGAAAAGGCTAATGCATTAATCAGCTGCACCACCTAGCTGTCGTTATGGAGTAAACATTTAGGTATTTTTTGCTTGAAACAGGCTTTAAAAGTGAACTCTAAGTAGGAATTGTTAGGCTCTTAGCTTATGTCATATGTTTTAAACACCCCAGTATTCAAGGTATTGTTATTGGGACAGTGAACATATTGCTAAAATGATAAGTTTATTAGCCCTATATGTGAGAATGTTTTCCAACTATTTGAGTTGGTCTAATAAAAGATGTCAGATTTACCCAAAGAACCTTGTCTGCCTGTCTCCAACATGGCTACAGCCTACACCCTTGCCCCTCTTTGGACACTTAGCTTCTGCTGAGATGTGATTTTTTTCAGAACACACCAAGTTTTGTGAATTCATATTATATGTGAAACTGCTGGAAAATAAAATCAGCCTACAAAGAATTTGGTAAACATGTTTTTCCCTTTTCCATTTTTTGACAACATACAGATATATTTTAGGTGCAAATATGTTTATTTGAAAAACTGCAACCATGCAACACTTCAAAACACCTGCAATACCCAACACTGTTTTCGTGTTTTTTGTCAATGAGCCTTTAATGTAAAAGACCTAAGCAGTATTGAAGGCAGGGACTTTAACCGAGGACACAGCCATCTCCAGGCAAGTGTTCTCATCTCTGAGGTTACAGAACTATGCCCCCCACCCACACTCTGTATGGTTCTTTTACTAGCTCTGAGCTTTGCCTGCCTTCCCATACAGTAGCCTAGTTTTTACAGGAGGGATCTAGCCTTTAGCCTGGTGATTTAAGGCTCTCTTTGGATGTGAGAGAATATAGATTTGGACTCTCTCAGGCTGAGAGGGGTCTATAACACAGATCTGCTTCCTGGGAGAGTGCTGTAGCCATAAGCCATCACGTAAGAAATAGGCACCTTCCCCTATCCTGCATTTAAAAAAAAGAATCTGCTATTCGAGTCAGAGAGGATTTAAGCAAATAAATAGGGTAGACATTTTTGAGTGGATAATCCAGTTCTCTGATAGATAAGTACTTAATTTACAGGTGCAGGAAGGCACCTACATCTGGAAGAGAGGTGCTTACTTGCACAAGAACTTGTTTCGTTGGTGTTTTTTATTGGCTAGTTTAGGTGCCCCCAGTTTCGTGTGCCAACATTTATTAATCCAATTCTTCATCACTCAGCTCTTCCCATTCCTTCATAGAGAAATTGGGCATCTAACTTTTAATTTGCTTCTGGAGTCAGTTGCCAAAATTTTAGGTGTATCAATATGCAGTTTTATGGAATGAGAGAACTCTCTCAGTAATATTCACAGTCCCTTAACATAGTCATAAAAAAAAGAATATTATTTTTTCCAGGAAAGAGAATACATATTGTGGTTCTTTTTTTCAATAGAAGTGGCTGTTTATAATCAGTTAAACTTCATGTTCCTCAGAATGACTGATGGCATCATAATCTATATAAACAAATACATCTGAAAGCTGGCAAAGCGAATGGAATGTGGACTGACCTGAATGGTGGTTAAGAAAAGCCCCTAGCAAATCTTGTGATCAGGAGTGTAGTTAATAACCAATTTTCTAGTCAAGTGCAATTATTCTTATTTTCCACAATGGTGTTAATGACTTATTTTGTCAAATAAATGTTTATTAAATGATAGCAATCTGTAATTTGAAATACTGTAGTGAGGAAAGTGTACTTTGCTGAGTATATTTAGAAAAATGTGTTGGGGTACAAAATTTAGAAATCTGCTGTTTTACCCATAAAATAGATCTCTGTATGGTGTTAATATGTAATTTTTTTTCTCATTCTCTGTTAGTAGTATAATTGTACACTCTCAGGGAGAGAGTGCACCTTATATCTTTAAGTGAAAAAAGGGAGAAATACTGACAGTGGAACAATCAGCAGAGAGTTGCTGTAAAAACTAAGAGTTTCTTCATGACTTAAGATTTGAACATGACATATAGACTAAAAGCCAGTATAGAAAAGGGTCCTGACCTACACCAATGCACTTGTAGTGTAAGACAAGGAAATTCTGATGCAAATAGAAAATTAGATTTTCATGGCGTTTGCTTTAAAGATTTTATAGGGCACATCAGGCCTATATATAATGTATTCCTCCTATGAGCTACCAGATTTCATAACATATTGGTCAATGCTCTTTAAACCTATGAAAATAATTCTGTGTTTAGGGGTAAGCCAGTATGTCACACTTAAGGTAAAGAAAGATGATGTTTGACTTCCAATCTGTATAATTTGTTTTAAATTGTTTATTGTTTTATAAACAATAATTTGTTTTAAATCTGACACAAACTAGGTATGTTTTAGATTTTACCTAGCCATATAGTTCAGACCTATTTTCAGAAGCTCACAGGTACTAAATTGGCTCTCTGGGGGTGATTCCTCCTGTCATTGCCATGAAAAAGTAAGTGTGAGAGGCAAGAAAATGGAAAAGTAAAGAACATAAGTATATAAAAGACAAGAAAGTGAATGCTGTAAGTAGAACTGTATTTTGACAATTCCATTCCACTGACTTTACTAAGAATAGCCTTATTATTTCCAAAGTTCAACAGGTAAAAGGAACAAGCTATAGTTTTTCAGTCCCTTATCAAATTCACTGTATTGATCACTGTTTTAGATTCCTGCCCATGTTTCTGGTGGAAGCCCCCTACATGCTTTTGAATTCATATGGAATATTTTATTTCAAAATGTTTGAACATGCAGATGATATTACTGTATTTACCCAAATCCACGATAACTTTGAATTGAAGATGACTCCCTCCCCAGTGTATAGACACTATACATGGCAAATTATAAATGTGTTATTTCCCATGTGCATTGGATATAAATTTATTATATTTTTTCCATGTTTAGAATTTAATTATTGGGGGGGTCATATTTTAAATTCCTTCCCCCTTCCACTGTGATGAGAAAAGCAATGGGGGGGGGTAGACCTTTACCCTCCTTTGTGCCTATGTTTGCCCCCCTGTCACCTCTTGCCCCCCACCCCCTCTGCTGCCCCTGCCAAGTCCCCCCTACAGCTGTGTCTGAGCCCATGCTCCCTATCCCCCACACCCCCAT